CTGAAATAGGAAATGAAGTAAGGAGTGGTCTCCGGTCGACAGTTGTCTGGCAGGTTTAGAGATTTTCTTTTGGCCACGTGCAACATCTCCAGAGGCACTGAGGTATCCAAGATGAATAGGTGCCACCAGAGACACAGTGAAGAGGAAGATTGTTGAATGTGGGGGCTGCTTTGAGTGGTATCACTCTCTGATTTGGACCTAAAGTCTCATACTTCTCGGGAAGAATTCCACTGCTGGAACAGGACATAGTTTGATATGGTAAGCCTGGGGTTTAACACAGAGTCATTTAGGTTGGAAAAGACCTGAAAGATCAAGTCCAACTGTTAACTATGTGAATTTTTGTCTCTCCATGGGAATCTTCCCATCAGCTCTGCCCTTGTACCCCAGGGAGCCAGTTGGCTGCGTAGAGCGAGAGAATGTCTTGGTTATCAAAATGATAGCAACAAATCTGGGTGAGGAGTCTGGCCTTAGCACACTTCTGTCCAAAACTGGGCTTGCCGAGCTGACAGGCTACAGTGCATTTTTGGGTGACATTTACCCTGGCAGTGGACTCAGCAGGTCAAAACGTGCTCAAGACATCTCATCCCAGCCCCAGATCTCTGGAGCAGAGCGGCGCTGCTGCTCCACGCGCCCGCACTCCGTCTCTTGCCTCCCTTTTTATCTGTGGTGCACAGCATGTCTGTGCTCCTCTATCAATGTATCAGGTGAGAATACCTCATCTAAAGTGTATACATTACCTAATAAAATCCTTCTTATTTGGGATTATTGCATCAAATTTTAATTTCCTCACTCGAGTAACAGCATGTCAGCCAGCCCGTCAGTGAAGAGCCGATAGAAGGTGAAAAGAGTGGATAAACTGCAGCAAATTACCGCAAACAGATCTCTATCAGCCCTTTGACTGGAATTGACTGGAATTAAGAAGTGAGAAATGGGATTTTTTTGCCGTGGCAGCTCTCTGAGGTGCTCCCCCTCCTCCTGCTGCTGCAATGCTGGGCTGCGCTTCGCCTTTCAAGTCTCTAATCCTGTAAGAGGAAAAGAAGAAGAAACAGGGGTGGAGGGGCATGAGAGGGGAGAGAAGTGCTGCTGTAGCTCGTTTTTCTCAGGCTGAGATCTGGTAACATAATCTAGAAGCATTTTGGGCAGGTGCTTATTCGGACACTGAGAAGAAAGCAATTTCTTATCAGGCACAGGAAGAGGATGCAGCAGGGACAGACTCCGCTGTCCCTGGAGGTGTTGTGTCTTCTTTCTTGATGTTGTTTATCATCCCAGCATGGCTCAGACAGATCTCCCAGGGCACCTGAGTGCACCAAAGCTGCCTGCAGCTGCAGCAAACCTTGGCAGCATGTTTTTTTTATTCTTCAGAGGTTTCTTTGAGTGTCTGTGCCCACAGTGTCTGTGGACTGGATGGCATGGTTGATGTTGAATGTCACTGAAAGGGTTGTCAAGTACTGGTACAGGCTGGCCTGGGACGTGGTGGAGTCACCATCCCTGGAGGAATTTAAGAGAGATGTAGAAGTGGCACTTGGGGGCATTGTTACTGGTGGACCTGGCAGTGCTGGGGAAGGTTGAACTCAATGGCCTTAAAGGTCCTTTCCACCCCTAAATAATTCTATGCTTCTATGTTTTCCAGGCCAGTTAGTAGGGGCTGGAGGAGAGGGACCATTTCCCCTTGCAGAGCTGCTGCTGAGCCCCTGCTTTTGGACCTCAGCTGGTGCATGGTCCAGGCAGCATCACAGCTTCACTTTGAGGGTGAAAGAGAAGGAATCCACTTTCTAGGAGGCAAGTTGAGGCCTACGAACATGCGCTTCATCCCATGGGGAGCCATGTGAAGGCAAGAGTGGGGCCAGATCCCGCAGGTGCTTGGTCTCAAGACCAGCAGTTGTGTTCCCTTGCAATAGAATGGTACAGATACATGTCAAATATCATTAAAATGGTTTTAATTTTTCAGCACCATCCCCCTCCTCCTCAGAAATGCCTTGGGTTGAAGAAATAATGTAGAATCAGTGCTATTTTTGCCCTAGAGTCTCAATAGCTCCAAGTTAATTCTTTCTTACAGTATTTCCAGCCCATCAGTGTGAACACTTTATTAAAAGCTCAGGGTTTTATTAAAAAAGGATTGATTTACCCCTGCCCCTCCTCAAAAAAAACTCGGATTTTGTTTGGATAATGTGCCATTCTTTATTTTCTTTGCCTTTTTTTAAGCATAGGCTTTCCCAGATTATTACTTTTCTAAACCTTCTTCCTCCTTCCCTAGAGGGAGAGAGTTATTCTATTCTCTCTGTACCCACCAGCCGAGCCCTCTCTGTGTAGCCACTGCTGTCTGCAGTAGGGAGGTAAATTGTGACCTGCTTTAATAAAAGTCAGGAATATTTGGGAGTTTTTAAGAACTGCAGGTTCCATGCCACAAATACCTGAGGCAGAGCTGTTGGTGCTGGAAGTCAGCCTGGGGTTTCTGTGAGTAAGTGGAAACTATTTTGGATGTGTTTGGCTGGAAATGGTGAGAGAGTCCCCCCCAATTGAGGGATGCAGTTGTCTGCCTCAGGAAGCCAGAGCACAACATCTCCAGCCCTTACCTCACCAAGATATAGATAGTGGAAGGAATAGTATTTGGGTTCGATATAATTTTGGAAGTGTAATTGGCAATCATTGAGATGTGGTGGGTGAGAGGATGGTCTTTGCCATTGTGGTGTGGCTGTGATCAAGGATTTGGTTTGTTTGGGTTGTTTTGCCAATTCCTGCCTCTCCTCTCTGGTTAGTTATCTCTGCTGGTTGAGTGAGCAAGATGCTTCACAATCATCACAGGTAGTAAGCCATAAGCATGGCCTATGTGTAGTACCACATTTTGTATCACTGCATCTCACCCCAACCCATGCTGAGTGGGAATGCTCCTTCCTGTCACCCATGATGAGCAATCATGCTCTGAGGCTGTCTCCATCAGTTGTTGCCCCTCACTACAAGGCCAATAATTGCTACCAGTGATATGGATAAGAGTTGTGCCTATCCTCTGGCACTTGTTTGGCCCCTTTCCCAGAAGGATGAAGATTGCTCCTAACACTGTGAATGCTCAGAAAAAGACTGTCCATTCCCAGGAACTGGCATCTGCCAGCCTTGTGGATAATAGAAGAATCTTGTGAAGGAGCTGACAGGAAGAATAGAAACCAGGTGGGATGTGAAGAGGTGCCCAGATCCCTGCCCATGCTGTGGTTCTAGGAGACAGCATCCTTAGGAGGTCAGCACCGCTACCACACTTGTTTCTCAGTCACTGGTGATGTCTGGCTCATTCCCAGGAGGGACTGGTAGAGAAAGAGGCTGTGCACAAGCCTGCAAAGAGAATAGGGGGAGACCCAGCCTCAAAAAACAGCAGCATGATAGTCATCACCACGGGCTTGCCAAGGACCAGGTGAACCTTAGCATGCTCTCCAGAGGCCCTCATTCCTGTGATCAGATGTATGGATAATTTCTCTGCTGTGGGCATCTCTATGGCATGCACTGCTGCGATATCTGAATGAGATTCCCCTTCCGCCCCTCCCAAGCTTTCCCTGCTGCCACATCCACACTCATCCTTTTATCTCTCCCAACAGCCTTTCCCCTTGTTCCCTGCGGGAGGGACCTCTCCCGCAGGTAAGGCAGCCCACTGCCATTCCCCACCCTCACAAGAGCTCTGCCTCCTCCCGCAGCTGCCGTCCCTCTGCAGTGTGCCGCACGGCAGGACACAATTCCCATTCTGCGCCGCTCCTGCACTATCTGGCAGGTGATGAGCAGCCTGTCACATGAACCCAGTGCCTTCGCCCACTGCCCCTTCCATGGAGGAGCCTCTGGTTTGCCAGGGAGCGGAGGGGGCTCGCATCTGCCATGCAGGGACAGCAGATTAAAGCTTGTATGAAGTTTGATTATGCCGAATATGAATATAATATATAATACAATAATATATATTGTACTATATATGATAGCATATTTATATAACAATATAACATATTATAATATAAGCAAGAGTATGCTGGGACAGAGTGCACTAGATTGCATTGCCTTATTTTTGTCTCTGCCCTACCCTCCTGTCCACATTCCCTGTTCTGCTTCCCACCTGCTCCTTCCCCACTTTTCTTGTGCTTTTTATCTCTCCGTGCTCCTTTGGGAAGTACAGTTATTGTCAGTGATTTAGAGGCTCTCCGGGCGGCTGCTGAGCCTCAGCAGCCGAGTGCTGCTCGGAGGCCAGTGACCTGGGATTTATGGCTAATGTTCTCGGTTAATAACATGGATTTACTTAAGGAGTCCATTGAAATGCCCTCGGAGATCAGGGAATGGGCAGTCTGCCTGGCCCTGGGAGCCTTCTTTATGGCTACCAGCAGCATCAAGCCCACTGGGGCACGAATCAGAAAGCCAGAGAAGACGGCAAGTCCCTGCTTTCCACCAGTGATGTTTCTGCCACAGCTTTCCCTTTGGCCTTCAGCTGATGGATGGCAGGGCAAACGTGTAGCTGCCGCTCTGCTCCCTCGTTAGATATGCAAACGCCTCTGCTGACATTTCCTTTGAGGGGGAAAAAAAATTAAAGAATTTGCTGCTTTCCCCACTGTTAATAAGCCAATGAAAACAAGAACAGCTGAGTTGTAAATTTTTTCACACTACATTAATTACGGGCATGTGCGTGTGTTGGTATTCACAGGGGCTCACTGCACTGCGGCGGGGGAAGTTGACTTATGGAGTTGACATAAGCGCATGATTTTTTTATTTCAAGAACTAAACAACACTTTTGGGCCAGTTTTATGTTCTTCGGTGGTTTCGGGGGACTCCTGGATCTCTTTGCTGGGCTGTAGAAACAATATGTCCCAGAGGATGGAGGATGAGGTGGGTGAGCTGGCAGTTGCAGAAGCTCTTGCCTGTGGGTGATCCCTGGCTCTCGGCATCTGTCCAACCCTCCTCCTCCTCCTTAAAGTTTTCAATTAAAATCTCTGCATCTCATTTATGCAGCTCAATGCTGATGGCCAGCATGAGCATCCCTTGTTGCCTGGGGTGCCTTGTTTGAAGGACACAGAGGAAGAAGAGGAGCAGTTGAAATTGGGAAGTCAGGGGTAGTGTAGTGACCAGCACTGAAGGTCCTGGTGAGAGGGAATTGTTGCCTTTGTTTCTTGAGGGACTGCAGAGTGAAAAGCCCTGTGGCAGAGGAGTGCATGCTGTTATCCATCAACTGTGAAGCTGTGAGGAGGCTTCTCTTGGCTTTACCAAGGCTGTACCTTCAATTACTCCTTCCGCTTCTTTCTTGAGCACCAATAGCTGTGTTTACCACACTGACCTTGCTTCAAATCCTCCTCCTCTGGGCAGAGGATAAGCAGCACAGGGAGGAGCCTGGTGGTGCCCTCTCTCGTCCCTGCAGGCACTTGCCGCGGTACAAACCTGCTGCACGGTTTTGATCCTGCTCAGGGGGTTGGTTAGAGGTTGTTCTTCTGGTCATGCCTTCAGCATCCCCAGGTACATCCTGGGGTGGGTTAGCAGTCTTCTGCAGCTCACACAAGAGTGATGAGTGGTGAGCCTGAACCGCCCCAAGAAGCAGGTGATGGGACTTTTCCATGACCTGCCATATCCTAGGACAAGTTGCCCTTGGTAAGAGGTGCAGTGCCTTGTCAGGGCACCCTGGGAGCCCCAGCAGTGCTCATGCAGGGTGGCTGTAACACCTGTCCCCTCTTCCTCCCCAGGGTACCACCGTGCGGGTAATAACGGCAGTTGACCAGGACAAGGGCCGTCCCCGAGGCATTGGCTACACCATCGTCTCAGGTAAGTTGTGGGGACATGATGGGGGAGCCCAGCAGGAGTAGAGGAGCTAGCCCTGCCATAAGCCTTTGTTGTTTCCCACACCTGGGAAATCATGGAATCACAGAATGGTTTGGGTTGGAAAGGACCTTAAAGATCATCTTGTTCCAACCCCCTGCTGTGGGCAGGGACACTGTCCACAAGACCAGGTTGCTCCAAGCAAATTTGACAGTATCTCATGTTGAAACCTTTCATTCCTAACGATGTGCCACAAACAGCTCCACTTCACATAATACCATGGAGGAGACCTGCAAAGAGCCAGGCATAAAACTCTTGCTGGTTGTTCTTTAGGGAGAGAATGGGACTGATTGCAGACTGAACAGCTCCTGGTGGATTCTGCGGTGTTTCCCAAAAGCTTTGAAAGGTGGGAGGCAGGGGCTTGGACCTGGCAGGGTGCAAGGCTAGACAATGAAGCTTAATTAAAGCAGTGGTGGGTTTGTGCCTTCTGACTGGCACAGGGATTGATCCTGCCTTTGCAGACTGGCTCTGAAGCCCAGGAACCCTTCCCAGTGTGGCTGGGTGGGTTGCTGAGACTGATGTAGCTGGTTCCCCATGGATCCTCACCTGGCAATGTTTGGCTCCTTTGGCTCCCTCGGCTGGGGACCCCTTCTGACGACAACAGAGCCACGAGCAGGGCAGTCTGGGCAAGTGATTCCAGATAAAACACGTGGTACAGAGAGGCCAGTTTTTGGAGTTGGACCTGTCTCATTTCAGATGCCCTGAGGTCAGCAATCTCTGCCATACCCAAGGCAGATTTGATGCTCACTGGGCTGCACTCAGACGCTGCTTTGGTGAGGACAGACAGACTACTCGGGGTAACCCAAGCACAAGGGACCAGCTTGGTGGGTCTGGGTTGTAATCCTATTACTTGCATTGCTTTTGAGGGGGTTCTTCCCATCAAGAAATGACAGCAGTGCCTCCTCTCCCCACTATGGCACATACTTCATTCAGATGCTGGCTGCCAGCTCCTCTGAGCTACATGTGTGGAAATCATTTCCCCGTTTCTTTTCCTTAAAGCCCAGAAATTTCAAACTCTCTTTTAATCAACCTCGAGGGTCAGGGTGATTTCACCCTGACTTTCAAGTCCACTGATCCTGACTGCAAGTATCCAGGTCAGTCTCCCTTTGAAGATGCAAGGATTATTTATTCCTCTAATTCCCTCTGCAATTTATTCGAGAGATTCTCCCAGATTGTGGGTATCAACTGGCCAAAGAGCAGCAAGAACTTTCTTTTGGCTGATAAAGGATCTTTTTCACTGGAGACTGAACTGAAACCTCATACTAATTTTGCAGAGGATGCTGAATTGCAGTGAGGATGGTCAAATAGCTGTCAGCCTGGCTATGTGGTGGGATGGTGGAAGGGAGCCAGGATCCTTCAGGAACAGGGTGGTGGCAGGATGTGGAGAGACACACAGGCAGATCACTACAAACAGCCTCGAATGTGCTCGTGTATGCCAAGAGCTTAATCCGTGCTCCACGTCCCACCTTGGGGGGGGGGCAGCTCTCATACTGAAGAATCAGGCAGAATGCATTAGAGTGATTAAACTACTTTGCATTATTATTTTTCCCCCAAATGTGAGGATTGCAGGGTGTTTTCCTAACTGGCAAGGAGTTCTTCTCCTGTGAGCATCAGGGTCTTGCGGAGTGGTGGTGGTGGTAAGGATCAGCCTGTGGATGTAACTGATGTTGCCTTCAGATGTCTGAGAGTCCAGACACAGGACCAGCATCTAATGTACCTCCAAAATCCTGCTCACCTAAGGCAAGCCATTTTTTTTGGCAGGCAGGTAAAGCCTAATTAATTTCTCATTATCCTCAATCATGATGGTAAAGGTCAGCGAGCAGATTTTGTGCCTGAGCTGGAAAATTTTTATGGCAATTTTGCAAAAAAAAAAGCCTAACATATGGAAATGGGGAAGCAAATTAAATTAGAAACCAACCGTAAGCAAAAGTGAAAGCGGCCGGTGGAGGTAGGAATTATACCTGGCTCTTGAGTCTCTTCTAGGAGCGGAGGTGGCAGTGATGCTGCTCCCATTTCCCTGCAGGGATGGGTGATGCTTGTCCCTGACTCCCAGGTTTTCAGGCACAGGGTTAGCACATGGCTGGGCTGACTTTACCTTCTGGACTTGAATATACAGCAGCAAGAGAGCTGAATAGCAACCTAGCCATTTGTCATTCCTTCGGTGTTAATATCTAAAGGATTGGTGTGATTTGGGGGTGGGGTATCAAAATTAATTTGGAATTGCCTGTGTCCTGTTCAGCTTCATCCCTCGGGCAGCTGCGTCTCGGGATGTACTGCAGCAGCTCTTATTTATACAGCTATCTCCAGCACAAGGTCCGCCTGTGACAGGAACACAATAAAACTAAAAGATTAACCATAACCACATAAAATAAGACTTTAGATCTAACTTTATGCTGCCAGTTTACAAAGCTGTTAAGGCTGAAATGATGGAGGAGCACTGGTCTAGCTGCGTTATGGCTTTGGCTAGTTGTCCTGTTGGGCTCACAAGCCTGCCTGCATGCACTGACAATCATTTCCATATCTAATAGGGAAAACCCTTGTTTCTCCCCCTTCCTTCCCACTGGAGTGTTTTAACCACAGGACAACATCCTTTCTTGCCTCACACTTTACAAGGAGTGGGTTCACTGCCCTGAAAAAGGCTAGTTGAAAAAGAAATCCACATTGAGACCTTACAACTCGAGCCCTGGTTCTGGCAGGCTGGTCAGTGCCAGGGCTGCCATCGACCGAGGGGTGTTCCTGCCACTTCTCCCGTGGGTACCGGCAGCGGGTGCCGGCAGCCCTTGGCCAGTTCCCTGTGAAATCCCTCCCTCCCCAGCTCCTTTGACAGGTTGGAGGTGCTCAGCCGCTGAGGTCAGGACTCTGCTTGAAGGACAGATAATTAATCCAGCAAAGTAATCCACAGCTCCTTTTTGGCAGATTTATGGAGATAGCCTCTGTACCGGGGACTCTGCCTCATCATCTTTCATTTCCCAGGCAAAGCGAGTGACTTGTTGTATAACACGACCTGTTCTAGATAAGGCTTTTCATTTAGGGGAACTCTCTGGGCTAACAGAGATTGATTTTCCCGGTGGAAGTCGAGGGCCCCGGCGCTGTGCACAGGATCAGCCCTGCAGACGGCACTGTGTTTTCACGTTTGCTGCCGCTGCGCATCGCCGAGGGCGCAGGGAATCCTCTGGCTCTTAAGAGAAGGACTTTTATCGTGAGTTAAATAGCAATTTAATTAATAGGCAGGAGGAGACTTTGGCCCTCGAGCTTTTGCTAGGAAAATTTGTTGTCTCAAGCATTGCTCACTAGCAGTAAACTTTAGGATTCCTTTATTTTCAGGATAGTCAAGATACTTCATGTCTCCTGGCTTGAGGATTGGAGGTGACCTGTGCTGCCTGGGCAGGCACTGAAGGGTTAACCCAGGGGAAAGGGTCCCAAACACCAGTCTCTGCCTGCTTGACACATTTCAGGTGTGGTGATGGATGGGCAATGGGAGATTGCACAAGGGCAATCCATACGTCCTTCCTGGAGCTTGGAAAGTCCTTCAGGAGAGAGGGGAGGGAGCACGGGGCTTTCAGTCAGTGATCTGGTCCTCAGGGCTATCCACAAACACTTAGGGTGGGGTTTTTTTACCTCCCAAAGTGGATTGTTTTAGGAGACTAATGCAGTTTCTGGTGAAGCACTTCCTAAAGCTGGTGCATCCTGAGGGTAGCATGAATTAAAAATCATTATTTGTACAATGCAAGAGAAATGTGAATTACAAAAACCAGAGGGAAGCTGAAAAGAATTGTTCTTCCTCTTTCTTCTGCTAAGGAATAAGATGTTACATGCACACACACACACACAGTGTGCAGTTGCTCTCAGAATATGCTTCCTGTGGTCTTAACAGATCCAGAGCGTCCCACTTGCCTTCCATTTGGAAGTGCAGCACAACCCTTGAGGCAAGGTTAAGTGGCCAGAGAGGACTCCAAGCCCTCAGCTGCTGACATCTCCCTTTGTAGTTTGACCTGACTTAGTAAAGAAGGCAGGGCAAAGCAAACCACTTCCCTGAGCCCCTTAAACCAGACATCAGGGAGAATCCTTGGATATGGCACTTGCTTGTTTTTCTGTTCCTGTTGTCTACATTGCTCTGGCTTTTTCCCACATTCGGCTCACTTGGTGAAGTACCAGGGTGTTAAAGTCCTAATAAATTACACCCACTGGGAGGGCCTTCCAGTATGATTTAAAAGCAGCTATCATAGCAGAACATTTCTGTAGGAGGACTCGCTGATGGGTGGAAAAGTGCCTCACACCCAGTTATCCATCAAAGGCTGTTTTTCCCCCCCTGCCAATGCAAGGGGATGAGACAGCACAAAGCAGAGATGGTGGCTGTGGTCACAGCCCCTCTTTTCTTGGTTCAATTGCTCCCTGTCTTCCTCCATGCTGCTAATGATGTTTCGTTGTCACATTGGCAGCTGGCTTTGGCTCCCTGGAAATCCAGAAATCATTGGAAAGAGATATGATTGGGATAATGGTTTGCATGGCAGGTGGTCCCACAGCAAATGGCCCTCAGTAATTAAAACTATACATTCCCTTTTATGTGTAAATAGGAAACAAAAGCATATTTTCTGTTCAATTTCTGGGACTTCCGATTTAACTTCCTGGGATTTAATGTGCATTCAAGATTGAGCAGCCTGGGCTAATGGAAGGTGTCCCTGCCCATAGCAGGAAGTTGGAATGAGATGAGCTTTAAGGTCCCTTCCAACCCAATCCATTCTGTGATTCTGTGTTGGCAACCCCTGGAGAAGGATGAACCTGCTCTGGCTCTGTCCATGTTAGGGGTTGAGAAAACAACTGATTTTGAGATGGTTTTTAATGGAGGATTTTCAGGAAGGCAATAAGCCTGGAGCTGAGAGGTTTATGTTCAAAAGCACATTTGAGATGATGTGGGGGAGTGGTGGTTGTGGACCAAGACTCAGCATCCTTTTGTGTGAAGAATGGCACTCAAAGCAGAAACCTTTAAACTCTACAGGCTCTGTTCTCCTCTCTGGTACCCAGCCACAGCTTCCAGGGAATTTGGGAGGGGGATTGCACCTCAGGTGATAAATATCTCCTTTTATTTCCTCATACAGTACATTCAGTTCTTAAATAGGAAACTGTGTGACCGTTTAGTCCGAGCTCCTTTTGTGGCTCTTCAAGATCAGGACTTCTGCTGATTGTGCTAGAATGGGCAATTAAATCTTTTGGGGAAGATACTAAAAACACCTGTTTGCAGAGCAGGCATGTGCAGAGGAGTGCAGCACAGCTTTGGGCTGGGATGTATTGTCCCAGGGAGAGAGGTTTGCTCTGGGAAGAACAAACTGAGCAGGAGAGTCCTGAGCAGGAGAAACAGACACTGTTTTATAGAGCATCTTGATTTTACGCACGGCTCAGGTTGTAATAACTCCTTTTTCTTTCGGAAATAACTTGTTGCCTTCAAATTTAAGCAGAGGGTAAGGTACCTGCCCTGGCAGGCTTCCCTGCATATGGCATGGGGCAGAAACTCAAGGTGAAGAGCAGCAAGGTGGTCACAGCAGCTGATGGACTATTTATACGATAATAACTGTGTCTGTTGCTGACTCTATGAACCACATCCAACAGCATCTATTTCAGTGCCGAGGAGCCCTGACGGAGCACATTTTGATTAATAAATTATCCAGCACAAGGTGTGTGATGGGTTCCCCTTTCACATCTCATGAAAGTCATCCACTCTGAGTTCAGCAGCTCGGCAAGCCCAGTGCCTTTGCAAGGATGCAGCTCCCTGATACAAACGGTCCTTCATGTACAGACGTTTGGGAAAATTCTCCTGCATGGGGGAATCAGTTTTCCCTAGCTCTTTGCTAGATCTGGGCAATAGCTGCATCTCTCTCTCACAGGGATTTGAGCAATGCTCAAAGGTCAAAGGGGTAGGGAGGAAGGAGGAGACGTTGATGTCTTTCTTTTTTGCATTTTCTCCCCTTCCCCCCCCTCTGGGTTTGAGCCAGTATTTTTAACAGCCTTTTTAAATTGTGAGAGCTTGGCTGAGGGCAATTAAACATTATGTCCCTCGTCTATAAAATCCATCGTTATAGCAGTGTTTCTCCAAAATTATGCCTATGCCACCATCCGTTCCTCAATGAGCCTGGAAAAACACTCTGAATGGACTACTGTGATCCATGTCATTGCTCCCAACCCAGCATCGTGTCAGACCCTGCCTTCCCAGTCCCCTGCCTGGCTGTGGTGTGTGCAGGAGCTGCTGTTTTCCCTGTGTCTGCACACAGACAGAGGGACGGGAAAGTTTTCCTTCCACTTTTACCCATGTCATAACAAGAAGTTGAGTTTGTATGTCCTGAGCAAGCCTGTTCCTTGCAGGTTAGAGCAACAAGCCTGCCAGAAAGGGATTCATATTGCTATCCCAAAGTTTATCCTTTTTTTGTTGTTGTTGTCACCTTTCCTTTGTCTTTTTGGGTATTTAAAACATTGTCTGCCTTGGTTTCCTTCTCTCTGTGTTCCGTTTCGCTGCTCAGTCTTTCCCTTCCCATCCTTTAATTTCAACCCCATCTCTGGGTGTCCCTCTGATGTCTCCTGCTGTCTCACATCTTGTGCTGTGTCCAGCTCTGTGGGTTTGCAGTGGTAGCAGAGAGGCAGAGGTGGAGCTTGCTTTCCCATGAGATGTCCCTCTCCGTGGATGCTCCCTCCTAGGTGGCCTCACATGTATTTTCTGCTCCCTGCCCTGCTCTCCTTAAGGGCATCCTTGCTTTCCCAGCACTTGAAATCAGAGCTCCTCCTTTGCTGATGACGGTCCTATTTATTCCTTGCCTTTGCCTGCTCTGTGCAGTGGAGCTGAATCGCCAGGGACTCTGTGAACGTTCCACATCCTTGTCTGGGTGCGGAAGGAGATGAAGTTCATGTAACCCTCTGTTTCACAGAAACCAGGGAATGGTGTTGGGCTCCTTTCTCAAACCAGGGCATGGAAATTAAAACCTTGGTCTCCACAGAATCCTAGAATGGTTTGGGTGGGCAGACCTTAAAGATCATCTAGTTCCTGGAGAGATAACGGGAGAGCCAGGATGGAGGAGAAAGGATGAAGAGGTGAGCAGAATGAGAGACTGGAGGGAGAAAAGACAAAATTGGGTAATTTCCCCCTACCTTATTTTTCCCCTTGCTCTGGGGAAGGTGAAGACATGAAGATGATTTGAGAGATTTTTTTCAAGGAAAAGTATCTTGGGGGAATGCACATTTTCTGGCAGTGTGAGTGCTTCAGCAGGGATCACTGGTCAGAGGAGTAATGAAGTGGTGATTGGAGAGGTATTGCAGGGGAAATTAGGAGAGGCCTCTGAGGGATGAGTTTGGAGATACCTTTCCCTTTGGAGGCTAATTTGCAAAGCCAGGAATTCTCTGCTAGCAGAAAGGCTGCCCTGGCAGGCATCAGATGTATATCTGATGGTGTGGGGCAGCCTGAGCTAGAGAAAAGCCTCAGATGTGCAGCCTGGGAGGCTATTTGGGTCCCAAATTTATTTGTCCATCCTTCAAAAAATGACTGTGGTTAGATATGAAATGCATAACCATCTTTAGGACATAGAACTCAATACTGTGCTTGGTTAATTTCCTGCCCTATTGACCTAATTCCACGAAATTCCATTGGTTCCTGTATTTTGTTACACTTCATATTAGGGGTAGCTCACTCTGATGCATAAACTTTACCATGGTAACCTGGGATCCTGAAGCATTTAAACAGCACAGTCCAATCCATCTCGTGGAGTGTCATTCAAAGTTGATATTGGAAGAAGTTTCCTAAAGTCAGCCATAAATTACAGAGCAAAGGTGGAAAGTCAGGATGGAAAGAGGGGAATTGTCTGAGGGAGGAGACTAGAGATCTTGATGTACAGCAGCAAAAGATTAAAACAAAAGCAAGGCTAATCTTTTAAGTAGCCTCACATCAGTTCATTAAGCTGGCCAGTGGTCAGTGGGGCATTTCAGATGGAGAGAAGAGAGGATCAAGGATAGAAATGGGAGAAATTCAGTCAGAGAGGAAGATAAAATGGCTCAGGAATGGGGGATAAAGGTGTTAAGGCACTTAGGGCTCTGGGGGAGAGAGGAGAGGCTAGAGTGGCTTCTGGGGTGGGAGACCTGGAGGCTTTGGCAATTCCAAGAAAAGCACAGCTGTGGTCAAATGGAACTTGTAAGGGAGCGAAGTGGATGCTGAATGATGGGAAACAACTTTCTGCAGCAGCAGATCTGTCTTGCAGCTCCCTTCCAGGGAAATGACAAATGCTGTGTGTGTTTCGTTCATGCTGGGCTATATTGAGAAGACGGGATTTATTTTTTAGCTATTTTTGACTGGGATGACTAGAGTGTACCTGCAGGGTTTCCTCACTCCCATTTGGGACTGCATCAGAGGTGTCTGCATGCTGTGAGATGATGAGGCAAGTGGTGTGGGTGGCCATATGCCTGTGTGTAACCTCCTTGGTCATCACTAATTCAGCAGCCTTCTTTGGTTTGGTGTCACGCTGGTGTCAGGTATACCAAGCTCCATATACCAACTGCTTACTTTTGTCTGCCTGACAGAGAGCGCACCTGGAGCTGTCGCAAGGGCATTTCCACTGCAGGATGTTGGTCCTTTTAGCATCTGCTGGCCGTGAGACTCAAGTGTTGTCTTAGTCCTCTCTGGGTGTCTAATTCCAGAGGAGGAGTGAAACTGGGGATAGGATGCTCCCTGGAGATAGCCCAGCCCTCCATGGCACCCTGTCTGGTTGCTTGCATGTAAGGATGGGTACAGAGGTCAAATTTGACTTAAGTAGAGGAAAACAAGGCCAGCTGCACAGGGTCAGTACATCTGGCAAGATCATAAAAGCAAAGCAAGGGCCTATAGTTCTTTGATAATACTCACCCTGGCTCCAAAGACATCCAGCTAAGAGAATTCCTGAGCTGCATGTGACTTCTCTGTTATTTGATAGTTTTTCTTCTTTAACCTCTGCGGCCTCTCCTTGAATACATGTGGACTTGTATCACACTCAGCATCCTCTAGCAAGAGGCCCCACAGTTAAACTGGCACTTGTTACATGAAGAATTACTTGTGAGCTTGGTTTGTATATGCTTTTGTCTGATTAACCTGGCCTGATGTCCCTTAAGCCTTTTAGGAGAGAGGTCATGCCCACCCCAGGGACACAGTACCCTGTGAATGCAGGTGGTTGTTCAGAGGGAAGCACCTGGATTTGGCCCTGCTTTCAGCTGTGCTCTTGCATATTTTAATAACTAAACCCATTTGAAATTCTTCAGCTGCCTTCAACATTTGCAACTTTTGGCTGATAGAAGGAGAGCCCTGTTTTGAGCCCTGAGCTGGGGCAGGTGGAAGGAGGAGAGGACCATTATACCCATGACATTTAAAAGCACATTGGGATGATATGCCACGTTTGTAGAGCTCACTGCAGCCTGTGCCCAGGTTGGGGCTTGTGTCCTCCTGCTTCCCTCCTTGCATTACTCCCAGCACCACTTGGGATCAGCTGTGCTAGCTGCTTGTGCTCACACTGCCTGTTTTTTTTTTCAGGTAACACCAATAGCATCTTTGCGCTGGACTACATCAGTGGAGCCTTAACCCTGAATGGGCCCCTGGACCGGGAAAACCCCTTGTATAGCAATGGATTTATCCTCACAGTGAAGGTGAGACCTCTTCCAGCCAGGAGACACACCAGCAGAGCAGATTGGGGAGATGCCCCTGCAGGCTTCCCCAGCCACGATGTGCTGGCCAAGCCAAGTGAGGTGTTAAACACAGCCCCCTCGTTGGGTGGCCCAAAATGCAATTGACTCTATATGGATGTAAGGTTGGTTTTTGGTGTCCTGCCTGTTCTCCAACTAGATCTGCCTCTGATTGTGTCTGCTGACAGCATGCAGATGTCCTGGCATCACAAATAGCACCAGACACTTATATTGAGGCACCTGAATTATGCCTACTTTTGCCTATTTCACACCTTTCCTCTCTGAAACCCTGGATAAACATGACATTTTGTCATGTCAGCAGGCAGTGGTGTAACAGGGCATCATCTGTGCCTGCCCAGCACAGGGAGGGGGTGATGCTGGAAGTTGCCTTGTCAAGAAAAGGCACTGGAGCACGGTTTTTCAGCCCCACCTGAGAGCGG